GCTCGAGACATCCTCAACACACGAAAAAGTGGCCCGCACCCTGTGATTTATCGATCGGGATTTCAAAAACAAGCGTTTCGCTCGAGACATCCTCAAATTTTAATTCGCCGGCCTCCTTCGACCTCGTTATTTATCAGGGAAAAAATTCGCCGGCCTCCTTCAAGTTGGCACCGGGGGACAGGTTTACCCACTAAAAGAGAACCCTGGGCTCATGCCCTTTCCGGGAAAAAAATGTCCCCATATTAGGTTTTGCTATTTTTGAATTTTCCTCCTGTAGAGAGACATGCCCGACTTAATGGTAGTCTGGAGATCCAAATGTTTGCACATTGCCCCGATCAAGGAGACCATCCCGAGAGGAGCCTCAACCCTCCTGGCGTCTACGAACTCTTCGTGGCGACTGATTGCTGGGAGGGGTCAGCGGCGATTGTGGCCAAAATTACGCTGGGACGTACCCACTCATTCAAGACGTTCGGCATGCCCTGGGGTGGATTTGCGTACAGAGGAGGCCAGTCCACAAGAAACCTTCCACAAGAAACCAAACCCTTCCACGAGACACTTTCCACAAGTCACCGTGGTTAGCAACAACCATTGCACACCAGCTTCAACGGAGAGGTCTGCCAACGGGATCGGTCACTCATGCTTCGCTCAACCTCGGGTCGACGTCGCTCCTGGCCAGGGTCGGTCTGCACGACAAGCTTGTCGCAAACGACAGGAACGCGTTCGGCAGTTCGGGCTTCGACACATTCGAGTTCGTCGTTTTCGCAGCTGGCTCAGGCATGGCAAGCACCGAATGGGCATCAGTCACTCAGCGGGCTTGAAGCCTGCTCTGGCGTATGGCAGCGCAGTACCTGGTATGTCTGACTAAAAGCTCAAGCGGGCTCGCGTTACTCTTCAAAGTGTTCGTTCACCTTCTCATCGAGGAGCCTCATTGATAGCGAAGTGCGCACTAGACGGCGACCCAATGGCTGATGTCAAAGTGACACATGCTACTCAGTGGGCTGCTGCCGTGTGGCAAGCTGCGGTTGCACCCGAGCGCGCACTCTTCACGGCACACGAGCTTGCAAGGATGTACGGAATGGTGGAGGAAAGATCACAGCCGAACACGACCTGGCGGAGCTCGAGAGGGTCCATAACCCCCAGTGATGTTGCGTTTGAGGAGGATTGGATGGGAAGGGAGAACCGCACTGAATGGATAGATAATCGAAACAGTAAAATCTCTCTCCACTACTCCTCCCCTGGCATGGTCACGGGTCAAGGCTCTACTGCGTGAGGCAGTGCAGCGTAGGCATGGGCGTGGCATGTTCACGCTTGTCGATGGCACGAGCGGGCAGCGTGCATGCCTGGACCCCGCGCGCAGTGTTGTCTACAGAAGCAAGAGGATCACAACTCAGCAGAAGTATGCTACAGCGTCATGTACGCACGAAGGCTTCAGAACGCTGGCTATCATGAGTCTGGTGTCGGGGGCGCGCAAACATGGATTAGCGATCCACGGATTTGGCGCGCGGCCGCCAAATCCATGGATCAGGGGAGGTGCCCTGGCCAAAATGCGGCCGGTGCCGCCTCGCTCGGCGGCAAAATCAGCGATTTCCCATGGAAACGGAACCCGTCGTTAATCCACGCCGCCTTGATCCATGTGTACGATCACCTGATGGTGGTAGGTGCCCCAGGTGCGGAGCTCGCGATGGCTTGCACCACAAACCTTGGAGATAACAGTGTCCTGAGGTGTCCGAGGCTGGGGAAGAAGCTACCAACCCAGAGGCCATCCAGGAAGTAATCGAGGCCGGCCCAGACCAACTCATTTCTGTTCATCCCCCTCCTCTCCCTCCCTCCCCCGACGGACCTCCTCCACCCCAAAGTGCTTGACCCTGCTGGACAGGTCCTCGAAGAGTATTCGATTGTCGAGGGGGGTTCGGAGGTTGTCGCAGATGGGTCGTGTACTCTCTCGGCGATTCGGGAGTTATCGAGGGCTGTCTACGCAGGACTTGTCCTTGATCCAGGCTTGGAGGAGGTCGTGGCGAGGTACCGTGGGCCAGTTCGGCCTAGCCTGCCACAGACCCTCCAAGCAGGAGAACAGATGGCAGCATGCGGTGTAGCTTCCATTCTCAGCCATGAGACTCAGTTGCATTCGGATAGTCTAGGCGTGGTGCGTTTGCACATCCAGACGCACACCCAGCAGCTGCGCAGCAAGTCTAAGAATGCGGAACTCAGGCGTTGGTTGCTTCAGTGTGAGTGTGCAAAGTTGGCACGGCGCATCACACCAAGGCACACCGCAGCTTTGAGGTCATTGATGCTCTCCCAGATAATGAACGTAGGATTGCACGTGCGAACTTTTTAGCTGATACAAGTGCTAAGGAAGCCCTGTACATGCATGAACAGGGTAACTCTTCGGACCAGGAACATCTGGACGCCTTGCTCGTTAAAGCTCGGGTGGTGGCGCGGGTGATGGGGGCGGTCTGACCTCTCTTCCCCTTCACTCAGTTTCCTGAGAAACCAGAGGTCCCGAAGCTCAGGCACACGGGTGCTGCTCGATGGCAGGCTTGGACAGCGATGCCTGGAGCGCCTGGCACTTTAATTTCTCATGATTGGCAAATGCGAATAAAGATATGTGTGCGGCACGGCTTGACATGTCTAAATGTCCTGGGCGTCGAGCAAACCGTAAGCTTTCAAGTGACGATGAGGAGAAAGGACATGACCTAGCTTTCACTCGACTCTCGTCTGCTGCCTCCCTCGTTGTCTGCCGCCGCTGTGAAGCGTGCAGCACAGATCGCCGCAGTGGTCTTCTTGAGTTGCAGCGCCGTGGCCGAGCCGTGCCGTCTGCCTCTCGCTGCGGTCTCGGTCGAATGCTCCGAGGTTACTCCAGATTTCGCCATTAAAGGGAGGGGGTCACAACCCTCACAGACGGGCAATTCCAGACCCCCCCCAACAAGCCATGAAGGGCGGCGTCTTGCCCAGACCCACTGGAACCCTCCAAGACAGCTCAAATCTGACCCCATCCCAAATCAAACCGCCCCCCTTTTATTGTGAAATCTGGAGTAGGCTTGCATCCCCAGTCGGATCGAGCTCCAGGCGCTGTGCTCCACGTCTCCAACGAGGTGGCGTGCGAGAGGTTTAAAACAGGGCTAGGATCGGGATGAATCGCTCCAGAGCGTTCCGGAGCGCTCTCAGAGCGTTCCGGAACGCTCTGGAGCGGCCGCGGCGCCCAATACATCCTCCAAACCCGCCGATTCTCAGAGATTTCGAGTTATCCCGATCCGATTTTGTCCCGATCTTCGCGTCGTGTGAGAGGTTGCTGGTCGCCCAGCGCCCTCGACGGCGTCCGGTCTGCCCGCAGACGCCCGGGGCAGAGGATCCGAGGGGCGGGCTGCTCCCTTGGACTCGGACCGTGCGGCGTCGGGCGGCCGCCCGTTGAGGAGGCTCGTGGTGTTTGAGCGATGTTCGTTTTCTCCCTCGGGGGGATAAAACTCCGAGGCCGCCTCCTCCTCCTCCTCCTCCTCCTCCTCCTCCTCCTCCTCCCCCTCCGAGCGAGAGAGAGAGAGAGAAACAAAAGAGAGAGAGAGAGAGAGCGAGCGACAGAGAGAGAGAGAGAGCTCAAGTCAAGAGGTCTGGCTGAGGGAAGGGGGGGCAGCACAGGGCGCGAATCCCACCTGAAGCCACTCCGCCGAGTCCGCAGACTGCGAGAAGGGGAAGTCGGGAACATCCTGGGCGGGAGGATGGGGGTGAGGAGGCGGAGGAAGCACGTAGAGGAGGATGGCGATAAGCAACGAGGAGGTAGGGGGGCGAGGTGGGCGCAGACGAAGAGGAGGAGGCGAAGGAGGTGGAAGAGGGGCATCGGCCCCAAGTGTCGCGGTCTTCTAAGAAAGCCGCCTGTATCAAGTCGTGTTCCCGTTCAAGACGGGATTCGGCATACGAGTTCCCACATTAGGAACATCCTGGGCGGAAAAGTGGACGGGCAAAGTGAGAGGGAGCAAAAATGGGTAAGCATCAAATTATTGGGGGACAAGCAAAATGCAGTCAACCCATATAGTAAAGATGCGCGGTAATGGTGCAAGGGCCTCGGACGCCCATGCCGAGGCTCTTCGAGCGGGGCTGGCCATCGAAAGTGGTTGAGGATGGACCGAAAATGATCGAAGCGGCAGAGATGCAAGGGTACCCTTGGGGAGTGGATCAGCCTTACTATCAGGGTTGAGTGTAAAGCTGGTGACATTGTCCGCCGCGCATTTGTAGGCCTCCTAGATGTGGGCCTTAGCGATGTAGCGACGACGTCGGCGTTGCATCGCCAACGTTGGCGTGGACAATATGGAGCTCCGCGTCGAGCCGCATCGCCGATGCATCGGCGATGCGGCGCGATCCTCTGACCCCATCTACTCGGACCCCACTTGGGAAGCCTGGAGCATAGAGAAGCAGTCGGAGACTCGTGCGAATACGCCAAGCACGCTCATGTTTTGGCGGGCCCGAAGGCTGCCTTGAAGTCATCCTCAGCCGTCTTGGAACCATATTGAATGGTTTGGGGGGCCTCAGTCGACCGTCTTGGTCCTCTCTGGGGCTCCTCGAGGGCTTTCTGAACCATCCTGAGGCTTCAGAGGCAGCTCGAAAGCGAAAAGGCGAGATCTTGGAAAACCTATGGTTTTAGATTGCTGTTCATAGGTGTTGGCGTTCTGGGGGCATCTTGGAACCCTGTTGGGAGCCTCTTGGAGACCTTTTGGAGCAATCTGAATGCCATCTTGAGCAGTCGGAAGCCGTATGGGGGTCATCCAGGGACGTCTTGGCGGCTTCGAGTGCCATCTCGAAGCTATCACCGGCAGCCTCGGAGCCATCTTGAAGGGTCGTGGGGTCCCAGTCGACTGTCTTGGGCCAATCTGGGGCCCATCGAAGGCAATTGCTGGACCATCCTGAGGCCCCAGAAGCAGCTCGGAAGCGAAAAGGCGAGATCTTGGCAACCTATGGCTTCCCATCTGCATGTTATTGCGCTTGGCGTTCTGAGGGCCTCCTGGAACCCTCTTTTTTTTTCCGCCACTGATCGCCCCCGAGGCTTGCAAGGGTATAATGGGTGCACGGGAACCAGAAAAAGCGCACGCCGCACAGCACTCCGCTTGGAGCTGCACTTCCTGCGCACTCGAGCCGCAAGTGGACCGAGTACCACAGTGGACGTCCTGGGCGCGACTGGTTGTCTTGCTGGAGGCTTGACGCCCAAGCTGCGCGGGCGAGCATGGCGGGAGCTGCCTGACCGTGAGTGTTTAGTCCGGAACGCCGGCAACCCCGTGCACCCTCGCTCTCGGCTGCAGCCCCTGCTGGGCGGCACGCCTCGTCCTGACCCCCGGCGAGGGCACCTCGGAGCTGCACGCCTGGGGCCACGGGGGCCACGGGGCAAGCCCGCAGCTGCACCTCTGACACGGAATCGGTGCGCCAAGTTAGCGGGAAATGCCAGCTGAGAAGCGCAAGTGGAAGAGGAAGAAGAGGAGGAGGAGGAGGAGAAGGAGAAGGCGAGGAAGGAGGACAACGACTATGAGGAGGAAGAGTGGAAAGCGTGGTTGCCAAAAAGGGTCGCAATGCGCCCCAAGTGCTGAAACTCTGGCCCAAGCCAGAAGTACAAAGCAGCGAACTCTAAAACGATCGCTTGAAGCTATACAGATCTCCCAGGTCAGAGGCCGTACCACTTCTTAATCTCGGGCACCTCGTACATCTTCGCCATCCAAGCGGTGATCTTCGGAAAAGCCTCGAGGCAATCCTTCGGCACGTGATCTGCAACCCCCTTGGTAAAGTAGCGCAGCTGTGCCAGGACCTGGAGGTCGGCGATAGTCACGTTTGGGCCAGCAAGGAATGCCCCTGTCTTGTCGAGCTTGGCTGACAAGAATCCCATCCACTTTGGCAGGTCCTCGGCGATGAATCGCTCGCGCATAGCCTTGACGGTGTCGGCCTTTGCCGGAAAGTCCTCTGGATGGCCAAACTTCATGTGGCGACCCATGCCCATGTAGAGCGCGGGAGTCCAGTCACGGGCCATGTCATCAGACAAGCCGAGGATTTCCTCGATCTCGAGGGAAGCATCGGCATCGGTCGGGTAGAGGGTTCCTGCCTTGTCGAACCTGCGGGCGACATACCGCATCATGGCTACGCTCTGGGCGAAGACCTTCTTGGAGCCATCGTCCTCGGTGACCTCCATGATCGGAAGCTGACCATAGGGCGTGGTCGGCTTGAGGGCGCCCCACTCTTCGAAGGTAATGCGAGCATCCTCGAAGGGCGTCCCGGTCATCGCAAGGGCCAGGCGGGCCTTCTCGGCCGCGGCCTCGATGTTGAAGTAGGTGAGCTTGATGGTCGGCATCGCGGACGTGGGTGCCGCGAGCTCGGCGGGAAGGAAAGCTGCAAAACCGAGCGGCAGGCCGCTGTTTGTGCCGGAGCCATTGCGCAAAGATGCCGTGAGGCAAAATGGCTACAGTGGGCCTCCTGGAACCCTCTTGGCAGCCTATTGGGGGCCTCTTGGGGCCGTCGTGGGGCCATCTTGAGTTGTCTGGGGCCGTCTTGGCGCCCTTTCAAAGCCATCTGGATGCATTGTGGGGCCTTGTCGTGCCCATCCTGATGGACCCTGGGAGCCCTGGTCCTACTGTGGGGGTTCCAGGCACTTGGTGCCCCCCCCCAGAACGCCTACGCCGATGTACATTGTGTAGATATATAAACATATAGACATACATGCATGCATGCATGCGTACATAAGTATATGCACACCCGCGTCTATACAGACCGACATACATGCACACATGCATGCATACGGATTTCTTGTTGTTCTAGAAATGTAAACGTGCATACATACATGTATGTACACATATATACATACATGCATACAAACATAGTTTCACCCATATTCATACAAAAAACATGAACTTCTACAAAAATACATACATACATACATACATACATACATACATACATACATACACGCAAACATACACACATACATCCATACATGCATACATGTATGTAGACACGCATGCACACACATACGTACAGGCGTACACAGATGCAAACATAAATACACCAGCATGAACATGCACATGCACATATGGATGTGCATACACATATACATGTACATAGACATAAACAGATACATAGACATGTCAATATACGCTGACGTATGCCTGTGCGTGTACACATACGAATACAAAGACACGTACATGTACATGTAATTGCATGAAAATGCAGACACCTGTACATATGCATCTACGCATGCACAAACTTGCACATATACATATACATATACATGTGCATATGCCCATACATGTGCATCTACATATGCATGTACAGTTCCGTGTGCACGAACATGTGCATAAACATATGCATAAATGCAAACATGCATATAATATACTTGTAGATACATCTAGACGTCCACTGCCCACTGGCATATACATGTACATGTAAATGTGCACATGCATGTACACATGCAGATGCATACACATGTATATGCGCGTATGCATATATATATATATATATGCACATGCATGCACACATGAGTCTACCTATACATATGCAATTGTGCGTACATCAACATGCATGTGTAATTATACATATACGTGTGTATATATATAGACACACATGAATACACACGTACACATATACATATACACACATACAGAGATCAATACATAGTCAATCGAAGAGTAAATAAACGTAGTCTTTACTAATACATACATACTAACATAAACATACACATACATAAAGTTTAGTCTTGGACATTTACACATGCAAGAACATGTAGACGTACAACTACATGCGCGTATACACGTACAAATACGTATAGATATACATACGGTCCGACCTGGAACAAAAAACATCCTTCAAAAACATGAGACCCTCCGCCGGCCAAACTGAAGAACATTCGAGGGTACCCTCCCCCAGGATGCACAAGAACATTCAACAAGCACGATGAACATTAGGATACTTTCCCCGAACCGACCTCGACCTTATATTTCGGTCCGACCGTATTCATGTACATGTACACATATATATATATATACACATGTGCGTGCACATAGACATGTACACATACATCTACATACCCATATACATGTGCATATACATAGACATATGCATGCACAGCTACATTGAAATGCACATCTACAGTCACATACATGTTCAAACACAATGACATAGTCATGTGTAAATACATACACCGATTCATGTACATATACGTGTACATATGCATGTACGCTTTAAAGTACCTGTATAGTTGCAACTGCATGGACATATACATGTGAATATACATATACATATGCATGTACAAACACGTGTACATACACACACACACATCCGCATATCCGCAAATTCTGAATCGTAAACAGCGACCATCTCTTTGGGGTGCATCCGTTGCGCCCGCCAGCTTCCGCTGGCGGAGCCGCCCTCGGTGTACTTCCGCTGCCTTCCGCCGCCCATCGGACGCCCTCCGCCGAGGAACAGATGCCAACTCCTTCGGTTCTCAAGGGCGAAGGCCTTCCTGGAGCCCGCCACAAGTCTCAGAAGACTTACGAGGGTGCGTGGAGCATGAGTGCAGGCCTTCTCGGGATGCGGCAGGCCACCGGGCCTCCTCCAGGAAGGTCGCCAAGCTCATCACGAAGGGCTGCGGCTGCGCCTGAGCCCTGGCGCCTCGCCGGCCCGGGCGGGGCCGAGCGAAAGCCGACCTCGATGCACAACATCACAACGGGCTCCTCCACAACCAGCGTCGTCCCCCATGCCTTTTCCTCATAGATAACTCCTCCCTCTCGCACCCCGAGGCCGGTCGAAAAGGCGGGCCGGGCGTTTCGCCTGAGAACTCCTCACCACTTATGACCCTGAAGCTTCAAAATTGGCAACCGTTTCACGGATGGAGGGCGGGTGGTTGTCAAAATGCGGCTCTCGCATTTGTGCCGTGCACAGTCGTTAAAAAGGCAAGAGCTTCACAGATGGAGGGCGGTTCCTCTTCAAAACGTGGTTCTCGCCGTGGCGCCGCGCAGACTGGTCTTACACATTCGCAGGAGTCGCACGGATCCCCATTGTTCACGTATCAGAAACGGCGTTTTGGAACCGTTCAAGACTGTCAGAGCGCAACAGGTACGTTGCTTCGTGGCGTTGGGGTCCCGAGGCTGGTGTTTTGGCTCGCTTCTGGGTCTTCAGACGGGTGTCTCCTAACCGGGGCACTTCCCTCCGTGGCACTGAATATTTGAAGGGGCCTCTGAATAGGGAGCTCGGAGAGGAAACGGATTCGAACATCGTTGGTGAATCTTGGGTTTCCACTGGTGTACCTCCTTCTCCTCCTCGCGAGCGGGTTCCTCACGGCCTTACGGGCTACCCTTCATTATTGATCATCCTCCTCCTCCTCCTCCTCCTCCTCCTCCTTCTCCTCCCCCCCTGCATCCACCTATTCCTCCTCATCCTCCACCTCCTCCTCCTCCTCCTCATCTTCTTCCTCCACCTCTTCCTCCTCCTCCCCCTACCCATTTTCATCTTCATTTTCAAATTCCTCCTTCTCCTCCTCCTCTTCCTCCTCCCCCCCCAAATTATAACATCCACACAGAAATGTGGGTGGAAACCATGAGACAAATGGCGAAGGAAACTGAGAGAAGGAGAGAAAGAGTGAGAGAGAGGGAACAAAAAAAAATGAGTTCCCCACATCAGGATGTTGAGGGCTTCGTGGGGCCAATGAGGCAAAATAATAGCAATATGAATGGAAGGGCCATCGGAAAGGTACGCGCGAAAGAAACGGCACACGAAGGCAAGGAGTGGGAGCAGCAGGGAGGAAGACGACGGCTGTTCAAGAAGCACGTTCGTCCCTGGAGGAGGGGGAGGGGCACGAAATCTGATACAAGCATGGTTTGCGAATACCATCCTCGCGCAGGCGGGGCCTCCCTGGAGGAGTGGGAGGGGCACGAAACCTCAGAAATTAAATTGTTTGTGAATGCCCTCCTCGCTCAGGCGGGGCCTCCCTGGAAGAGTGGGAGGGGCACGAAACCTCAGAAATTAAATTGTTTGCGAATGCCCTCCTCGCTCAGGCGGGGCCTCCCTGGAGGAGAGGGAGGGGCGCGAAACCTGATAAATAGCCTGGTTTGCGAATACCCTCCTCACGCAGGCGGGGCCTCCCTGGAGGAGTGGGCGAGGCACGAAACCTCAGAAATCAAATTGTTTGCGAATGTCCTCCTCGCTCAGGCGGGGCCTCCCTAGAAGAGTGGGAGGGGCACGAAACCTCAGAAATTAAATTGTTTGCGAATGCCCTCCTCGCTCAGGCGGGGCCTCCCTGGAGGAATGGGAGGGGCACGTAACCTCAGAAACCCAATTGTTTGCGAATGCCCTCCTCGCTCAGGCGGAGCCTCCCTGGAGGAGTGGGAGGGGCACGTAACCTGATAAAGAGCATGGTTTGCGAATGTCCTCCTCGCTCAGGCGGGGCCTTCCTGGAGGAGTGGGAGGGGCACGAAACCAGATAAATAGCCTGGTTTGCGAATACACTCCTCGCTCAGGCGGGGTCTCCCTGGAAGAGTGGGAGGGGCACGAAACCTGAGAAATAGCCTGGTTTGCGAATACCCTCCTCGCTCAGGCGGGGCCTCCCTGGAGGAGGGGAGGGGCCCGAAACCTGATAAATAGCATGGTTTGCGAATACCCTCCTCGCTCAGGCGGGGCCTCCCTGGAGGAGTGGAAGTGGGAGTGGCCTCTCTGGCGTAGCCTCCCTGGGATGCTAGGTATAGTATGGTAGCGTTGGTATGGTAGGTGTTGTAGGGTACGGTAGGTATGGTATGGTATGGTATGGTATGGTATGGTATGGTATGGTATGGTATGGTATGGTATGATATGGTATGGTATTGTATGGTATGGTATAGTATGGTATGGTATAGTAGGGTCTGATATGGTAGGCATGGTCTGGTACGGTAGGGCTGGTATGGTAGGCATGGTAAGTCTGGTATGGTAGGTGTGGTATGTGTGGTATGGTACATGTGGTATTGGTATGGTATGGTAGGTATGGTATGGGATGGTCGGTATGGTAGACGAGAAGGAGGAAGAGGAGGAGGAGGAGGAGGAGGAGGAGGAGGAGGAGGGAGGAAGAGGAGAAGGGAGGAGAGGAAAGACAATAACGAGGGAAGGGAGGATAACCAAAAGAGAGAGAGAGAGAGAGAGAGAGAAAACAAAAAAAAATGATCGCAACAAATCGGGCGGATTGTCCGTCCCAGCGCGCGGGCTACGAGCGCGCGCTGCGCCCATATCTTGTGGCGGGAGGGGTCGAGTGGAAAACAGGGGTGGGGAATTTCCCACTCCGTGGCGCGGCCCGTAGGAGACCCCAACGGAAAAAGCAAAACGGGTCTGGGGTGATGAGAGCGTGGCACAGTTCGTTTGCACACGCGGGCTGATGGCACCCGCTATATACACGTTTTGGCACTCGTGCGCCGGCACCTTCACGAAAGCGCCGCATGGAAACATCCCCCACAGCGGCCTTGAGGCATCCCAGACAGCTCACGCAGCGCACTCAGAAAATG